ATGTATGATTTTTGTTGGGGGTAGAATTGTCATTCTAAGAGTCTGATTGGTGACACGGAGGAAAGCATCTTTTTATTTTGAGAGGTTTGAAGCGACATGGAGCGGTATAAAGCGTTTCTCATGATTGTTGTCAAATGCCAACAACCGTTACCACCCGAAAACGCAGCGTTTAGGGGTGGCAGCGGATGAACCAATCAAGCTCTAAGTCTTATGAACAGTGTTTTGTGGCATTTCTCAAAATGATTTTGGGTTTATGGCTCTTTTAAAAAGTTCGGCCCGTATCAACTCGAATGACATATACATGAAAACATAATATATTCATATATGCACGTATTTATATAACAAAAAAATACTTCCTCCGTTTTAAAATGTAAGTTGTTTTGGGTAAAACTGTGAATATTAAGAAACTACTTTTCTGCTAAAAATTATCATCTTACATATATAAGAAAAATAATTTAATCAATAAAAAAAACGACTGCAAAATACTATTGGTCACATAAAAGTCAATAAAATTAAAAAGTACTTAGGATTATCAAAACAACTTATATTTTGAAACATAGGGAATACCTCAATACCATATATACACAAATATTTTCTTTTTATTCAAAAATTAACCTATCTATCCCATGACTTGTTAGAATTGGCATGGCTAATTAGCGAAATCCGTAACCCCGTATCATAAAAAATATATATATATACTAGATTTTGACCCACGCCAAACGTGGAATTAAATGATTAAATATATTTATAATCTATTTTAATATATAAACGTGTCTGACAAATCATATGATTTCTAATCTTTATAAACTTACAAAATGATATGCATTGTGCATAAGTATAATCAAGTTAAATTTTGATCAAACATATTTTGATGCCATCAGTTTTAATATTTTTATGTGCAATTGATCAGAACATATGAAAATGCTATTTATTACAATATATTTTAAGTGTAAAATTAATTTTTATTATTCATGAAAATTATATAGCATGCGATCAATCAGATAAATTTTAGATTTATATGAATTTGTCGGACATAATAAACGGAAAACAATATGTATTTTTCAATAATGAAATGTGTAAATATTTTATATATCATATTAATCTAAATACATATATACACAATAAATAATATTATCACAAATATAATAATAAAAAGTTTTTAAAATATAAAAAAGTTATAAAAATAGATAATATGATCAGTCTAAATATTACATTTAGTTGGACTTAAATTTGCAAAACATGTATTAAAGGGTTTATGCTAGAAAATTAATAAGAATATGTAGAATAGAATTAATTGAAATATTTTTATTGGTTAATTTAAATGATATTTTCCTTGAAACCTTCATTGAGTGACACATAGGATTTTCACCTTAGTGTCTGCTCAAATAATATATAGATGATGGATAAAAATTCTGAGTTCTAACATTTAAACAACACTTTTCCATCTATATTTACATCCGATCCATAAAGATGTTATCACTATTGGCATATCTATATTAGTGTACCAATTTTCTATTTCTGCTTTAACATCAAAATCACGAAACTTATAATAATTAATATAGAAAACAAAGAGGAAGCTCGTTCCCGACCACCTTCGTCTTTGCCTAGAGACAAAGAACCTTCACTTCCTCCTTTAATCAAAACACATCTCAGACAAACTTTACAAATAAACACATCATAGATCTCGCTGTCTTTAATTTACTTATATAAGAAAAATTACTAGGTTTAATTTAATTAGTAGCTAGGTATCTTATATGTTTTTGTTTTTTTTTTGTTTTATGAGACCTAATATGTTCCTACTAATTGTATTCAATTTTAACTTATCTCCTCTCGTATATGTCTCTATTAAATTTTGTTTCATACTTCTAAACTACTGATATTCGGACAACTCTTTGCGAAAAACGACAAAACAATCCCTCAGAAATATAGATATTATTACATCTACTGGCTTAATCGGTTATTCATTCGTTCATTTTAATTTTCTCCTAAAATAGAAGAAAACTAATGATAATATATATA